TACATTCCTCTATCCTAAGATGCCTTAGACTGCTGACGGGATAAGCACAATGGCTAAGCTCGTTAAATTATTCAAGCACCGTGGGTACGTGCAAATATCGTATAGGAATTTTGCTGATAGCTTCGGAATAAGGACGTCATTCGATAATGAGTGTCACCGTCATATCAATGTCGCAAATGCGTTACGAATACAAAGACCATCCAAACGAATCATTAAAGAGCATAGGACATAGATAAGGTGAATTTTTTTTTCTTTCAATTTCACCGTGACAATGATATTAATTTATTCGATTGAGAACCACTGAAGTATCATGCCCGCGCTTCTCTAATCTAATAGAGAATGACAATGGAGCGGCGATTATGCTATTCGAGGGTTCCACTGTGAGCCATTCGCAACGAGCCACGTAACTCCAATTAATTCTGCTCTTCAATTACTACCCCATTTGCAATTTTACTTGGGAAAAGTCTCAGTACTCTGCGTATCAGCCCCACGTGCGCGGGGACACTTACTGTCAAAATTATATCAATAACTTGATCGTAAACAGTCACGTGTCATTGGGTACCTTAGAACCAAGTCTTTACCTCGTAATAAAGAAGCACTTAAGCTAACCCACAGGACTCATATCGGACATACGGAATGCGGAATTTTCTAAATAAAGAAGAACCACCCAGCCATTTCGGTTGGGAATGCACGAGACTTGCATGCAAAGTGCATCGGCGTCTAGACCGTTCTCGACTTCTGCCGAGAAACTGCTGCCAATTAAGCGAGCGACCTCTGGCTGAGGTGATGACGTCTTTTTTTTCTCGAGGTTACATCCAACCGTTAGCAACGAACGGATTCTGTGGAAAAACTAAAAAGTCAGAGGAACGAGTGGTACGCGATAGCGAATTATTAACGGGTCATTAGAAAGATGGGAATCCGAGTCTGACCATCTCGCAAGTTTTACGTGTTTCCATTGTACAGAACGGACGTCTACAGACGTCGGCGCGTGTGAGCTGAAGATTCGATATACTTTGATGCCCACGATATATCTTATTCTCTCTCTCTCTCTCTCTCTCTCTCTCTCTCTCTCTCTCTCTCTCTCTCTCTCTCTCTCTCTCTCTCTTACTCACTCTCTTTTACATTGTTTCCCCTAATGGCAGCTTCTAAATAGAATCACGCAGCACGTTAATACGTGACCGGTATGCTGACACACGTTGCATTTTAACGCGTGCGAGGACACAGCATTCTCGTTAACGCGTGTAACAATAAGACAGGATTACGTGGAGTGTAACGAAACCGGACGAACCCACCAAGAAAGTCATACACGAGAGGTTGAATAAGATGTATCGAAGATCGTAGCGATAAACGAGAAACACTGAAACGAATAAAAACGAAAAATCAGAGTACAGTCGTTCCAGGAGTCGAAAGTTGTTTTTTGTTTGTATACAGTTCATAATCAACGCGAATTCTTAGTAAATGTTTGTCACTTTCCGTAACATGACAAAAAAAGAGATCTGATGCTAAAATTGAAAAACAGAATAGATTTCAGTGCAAAACCATAGAGCCACGTGACTTGCCAGCAACTGGACTGTCATTGTTTCGTAAAGAAAAAGAAAAAAAAAAAAAAAAAAAAAAAAAAAAAAAAAAAAAAAAAACATTGAACTTGTGAACCAACGATAGCGAAGACGTGAAAATAGATACACGTTCCCACGTAAAAGTGAATGCATAAATGCAAAATGGTTTCCAATCAAAGCCCGATAGATCGTACCGATAGGCATTCCCGTATCCGTGGGATAACCTGGATGCGATTACCGAGAAAGTCACGCTGCAGGTGGTGCAGGTGCACAGTTGCAAAGAGACACCTAGCTGCGGACCGGGTCATCGACTCCTCCCGTCCGTCCTTCCTCTGCTCGCCAGCATCATCGTCCTCGTCTTCCTCTTCTGGCTAAGTTACCGAGTCACTCAGAGTCAGTCACTCGAGATGTCTCATCCCTTCTCCTCCAGTCCGTCAGTAACCATACTGTCCTTCTTTGTCGCCCGCTTCTTCCTCTTCTTCTTCTTCTTCTTGGTCTTCTTGTACAGTTTGGCGCAGCGCACGTGATGCAATCGCGACGATGTCGCGCTTGGCTAACCTCGCTGTCGATGTAAGAGTCGTGCGTCTTTTCGTCTACCATTGATTTTCGGACCTGACGTCACAGACTCCATCTATGGTAACCATTCCAAAAGAGGTAAGGACCTACGAGATATAAGGGACGACAGGACATGAAGAGTGCAGTTGGGATGCACCGGTTAGTGCACCGAGCCAAGACTCCGCTCTTGCTGCTGCTGCTACTACCGTCGTCTCAGCCACGCTCTGAATCTTAACTTGGCATGATTCACTCGACTGCTACAACGCGGACATTTATAACGTGGTCATGCCCCCGTCGCATTATGCCCTCGCCATAGCTCCGCTTCTGGCTTCTGGAGTCTAGAAGCTGCAAGAGCTACACAGGCTCTATAGCGTATATAGACGGGAACGGGTAGTTTCGAATGTTAGGCACTTAAGACCGATAGTCACGTTGCGTTAACGCAATTTACATGAATTAGTTAACAATAACGAGCTCTGGCAGAGATAGCGGAGATTTGAGTTGGATTCGCGAAAGAAGGTGAACCAAGTATAGGGGCGGGTTGTGGATCGAGAAGGAAGAAGTGTCAAAGAAGGTCGAAAGTGGGTAGGGGTACGTTGGGGGAATAAGAAGTGGATGAATAAGAAATGGGAATGGAAAAGAGGGTAAAGTTCTCAGGTGGAAGAGGCATGAGTCGCAGGCTCGTTAAACTCTATAAATTTAATTATGTCTATCCAATAAGACTAACTCCATCTTACTCTTAGTTAAATAACTTGAAAAACCGTAAGAACGTGTAAGGATTATTTTTCTCATTCAAGTTTTCCAGTTTAGATAAGGATCCCCCGGGTCCCCGGGAACTTCCCGACTAATTCAGACGTTCGTAACAACATGACGACCCTACATCCCAGTTATCCTTTGCCACGACTTCGGGAAGATTCCGAGTGGTCTTACGATAGACCCTAGGTCGAGTTTCTTGATTGGCGAAGATAGTAAGCCTTGGTTCAAGGTTTGTTGATATTTATCTCATCAAGAATATGGTATAGTATGTATACCATATAGGTATATGGTACGTTATTGTTCGCCATTGTGTGCCATCATCTTGTGCAGTCGTAGTATCAACATTTTGCCTCGACTATTTGATAAATATCCAACGAGCGTTCCATTGCGTAAATTCAAAGTCTGACATTCCGGATATTTGGGACACGTTCGCCTTGGTATGTCAAACTAAAACTGACAATCAGCTAGTCTGCTGGCTACGCCAATATAATATCTAAGCCAAAGGTCTACCCAGTAGGTCGGGTAGGTATTTCGTACAGACGGAAAAGCCAATAGTCCATGGCCGAACCGTTATTTCCTGTCAACGATGCTGCGTCACGAAAGGCGCACAAGGAACGGTTCTCGGTAACCAGTTTGCCAGATAGCTGGTAGCCATTGCCGGTACCCCGGTTTCAGTAATGAGACCCAATTCGCATCATCCAGCTGCTGTAGCACCGTAATCCTGCTGCTAATTACACCGTGAAAAATCCCCATTTTAAATTAATTTTTTGTGGGACCACAAAGATGAATAACATTACGGAAGTGCATACGAGATTTAGGATCCTGGTAAAGCTAGAAAAAACACGAACAGAAGTTAAACCGAACACGAGGTCAGATCCATTATCCTGATACCGAAGTGCATGTCGGTACGTATCGTGGGAAAAACAAGATTCTTACAATGCATTCGATTCATAATTTTTCCACGGAAAATCTAGCTGTAACGGTAACGCGCTAATTGCACGGTTGAAATACTTTTGAAAATTGCACGACTCGGGTACGCGGGAATAATTAAATGGATAATCGCGAAGTTCTCGTGGCGGTAGGTATGCGCGTAAAATACAGGATGGCAGAAAATGTGAACCGTTACGGCAGCCATGTTGCATCGCATTAGCCAGTCGACCGAGTGATCTTGATTTGATCTGTGCTCTCGTACTTGCCTTCCTTCCTTCGTCCCATTTAATTAATGAGGTATATTCTATATATCGTCTACGCATATAGTAGACCCTAGTTACGGTATTTATACAATTTACAATGTTTATAAACACTATACTATTATGTCACTTCCATGGGGGATTACAGGCTCTTCATTCTCTATTTCTTGTTACATAGTTGGCGCGAGTGATCTTTCACTCTATATACTGTACAGATAGTGTCTTGGTGGCTAATCCTGCATCCTATGACATTGCATTACCGGACCGAGAAACAGCAACGTTGCGCGTTCACGTTGAATGTGAGCTGAGAGTTACGAAGAAGAGGACGGTCAAGTTCGCCATCTGGTTACAAACTCGTACCGATCCAGTTTTCAATGACGAGGAAGCAGGTCAAGTTTACATCGTAAACCGTTAATCAACATGATTGCCATTGGATCTCGATAATTTTTCAATTTGCTTCGTCCGAACAATAATCCAGTGTTCGATTCCTTCTGTGGCTTTCTTTTTTTTTCTGATTAATTTAATGCTTCGCCAAAGAGGTCGCGGACGCCTAAAGAAGATGGACTTGCGAGTATTTTCTTTTCTAGAAGGACCAGGAACTTTCTCGTCGCTTGGATCACGCAGTATATATCGCCATGGTTTTCTGTATATAAAGGTCTATTAAAAGTCCCTAGGTATTACCTAACGTTTATCTAACTAAACGCAATATGTAAAAGTTGCGTAAACACGTCAAGGAGCGCTCGATCTTTCTTTTATAAATCAATCTCTCGAGACGCGCGCGGCTCCAGCGGCGCCTCGTGATTTCATCACGCGCGGGAATGAAAATTAAAAGCATTTCTCAATCTGACTTATACTAAAATTTCGTTAAAAGAAAAACGCAGGAAATATGCCGAAGACAATATGTATACAAGGTCGGTAGGTTTTCTTCGCGTAATTAGCTACTTACCGGAAACTCCACCAGATATTGAAGCACATGGTGTTGAGCCAGAAGAATGCTGCCAAGAAGAAAAAGTGCGCCATGATAGCTGAAACAAAAAGAAACGGAATTCCTCAATAATCATTTTGACCTGAGCCGCGCGGAGACGCACTGGTATTATTTCGCGACGTGAGAAAATGTCCTTGGAAAGCGTAACAGAGAGAATCGTCATGGATCGCGATACATGTCATATCCTTGTATCTTGCCTGCACTAACTGCACGGTGTTAAAAGATACATGCATATGTATAATACATTCTTCGACAGATACCTATACACATTGAATATATCTACATATATCATATAGATATATATATAGAAACTGTCACGATTCATAGGCAGAGTCAGTCCTTGGGAAATTTACGAACCGGGTTAATGAATTTCGTAGGCTCCAGGGAACCTTGCGGTAAGAAAGAATAACGCATTGGCAGTACCGGGTACATGCCACGGGCGGAAAGCCTTTCAGAGAAAGATTGAGCAAGGTCCTGTGGCCAAGGGATATGCCGGATTTTCCAGTTTAGCGAACCAGGAGGCTCGTGGATTATACATTTTTCAGAGCGCCGTTAAACCTTCCCTTCAGAAAGTCCCCAGAGGGTCGGCCAGAACTTTCTGCAAGAAAAGATTTGCCAAGTGGACGTACGGGGGTACCTAACCAACACCATGGATTATCACTCTTGTAGACTGTTTACCTATGGGAGTTCAATAGCTGTGATCGATCATGATCGATCGCGATATTCCCCATCATCGATACCCGGGGTGATAATTCATCGGCGCGGAGGAGTACGAACTCGCACGGCAGGAGGTCGTCGGTTTATCGCGGTAAACATTTATCGCGCATTTCACTCGCGGAAATAATTAAATTTCCAAAACTAATTATGGCTCGTTGCAATTATAACTCCGGGCAAACATGGCGACATTCAACTCCGAGACCCCATACAGTGGCCAAATCGCCGTCTGCAGTGCTCCTTTGCGTTACGTCATCAGATCTCACCACCGCCGACCCATATATATCATAACGGTACAGTACAGAATCACCGTGGTAGATTATAGTAGATACGTTAGGTACATAGGCAAGCGAATTTCCTATTTGCATCCTGCGCACCCTGTTTTCCATTTCCCGATAGCCCCGAATCAAAAGGGTCAGAGGTCTCGGAAGGACCCTCGCGGAAAGGCCCTTATGAGAATTGGCTCTTCGTATACAGCCACCTATACGCTCCTAGGGTTAATTTAAGTACGGACATGGCCCGGTGACTTTACGAATGGAGGGTGCGTAATCATTGTACCTATAGTCGATGGTAGATGGGCATCGCCCCTCGCACCCTCATACGAGAGAGTGTCGAGGGTGGGATTGCTAGTTAGGGAACTGATTTGCATGGGGTTAGAATTAGATTGCGTGTTTCGCGTTTGACCCGTGAACTACGTGGGTCATTACGCAGATGTAGGATGCCGTTAATTAATAATATTTATAATACACTGAGTGCCAATATTCTATAAGGTAATATGTGCCAATTACACGTTACTCCGGTACACGTACTGATGATTCTACTTTTTAACGAGTGAATATCGACTGGCACGAATTTACGTTAGGTACACTGGTTTTTTTACATTTTAACTCCAGCAAGAGTGACAAGGCCTATTCAAGTCGAGTCTTTGAGAATCTACGAATAAAAAACGTACTGACTGTATGTACCACGGCAATTGAGATATCAATGGAAACTATGTATAGTCAGACGTCTCATGAAGTATTAAAGGCATTAATCGATAGAAGAGGCAAAAAATTAATTTTAGATCCTAAAAATCGATATTCCATCGTAAGACAGTTAATCGATTGACATGATTTTGTGAACTGACGTAATTTGTCGAATAGCATGTTACATAGAATTGAATTGAAAGACACTGTATGTACATTGATCGGAGTTTAATTCGAGCGTTCGGACATTTTGGCATGGCACGCCAGTGACCGAGATATTATTTTAGCCTTCTGTGTAAATAATGCTGTTTCACGGTTGGTAACATGTGGAGCGTATGGTTTGCGACTGGGCGAGTCGAAAGTCGAGTATTGGAAATAGACCTAAAGTAGGCTAGTAGAATCGGTACGTTAAACGCTGCGCATCTTATCGTTATCGTCCCAGTGTCAAATTTGACATGATAATTGTCCCAGTACCTGTACACTGTCGTGTATAGAAAATTAAAAATAATTGTTCAATTAATTGATTCATCTATTGAAAAATGAGGTTACCGTTACCAGCGATAATTGCACGTACGCTTAAAGCGCAGCAGCCAACCTGTCTGTTACACGAGTAAATATACTCCCACGTAAAAGTTATATATTCCACGTATAGGCAAAATATATTTTTACCATATAATCTTTTCTGGTTTTTTGTATATTTCGTAAATACGAACAATATATATAACATATATATGACGTATACGAAAAACCACAAAAAGTTATATAGTCCAAATACGTCCATACGTTGAACATATATAACTTTCACGTGGGAGTGAAACAATCACAGCCTGATAATTACAGCAGCTAATACACAAACTATTGATGAACAACTCAGTCGCCAACACCGGTGTGAAGCGAGGTTGAAAACATACCTGGTGGGTAAAGTAAATGCAGCCAAGAAGAAGAGGTCGATGAATCAGAGAAGCCTGTGTAAATATAACCCGGGTAGTCTGCTGTGTGTCGTTCTCATGGAAATGGGACTCGGCGCATGTTAATTCACAAGGTGATTTGCGTCCGCAACGTTTCCGGACATTTATGACTATTGACATCAATTACATAAACAGTTTCTTAATCCGGTTGACCTTCGGGGAACGTATTGCCAAAAGAACGTATCGACGTGTGAAAATAAATATTTAAAAATATATATAATCCAAAGTAAAGGATACGTGTACATTATTAGAATAGAAATCGCGTGGGTAGATGGACGTCTAGTGTTTCTAAAATTGCTGAAGAGTGACGTCGTTGTTTTCGTCTGTTCGAACGCGAATCGACGCCGTGCAACGTCGACGTTCGGATTAACGTCGTAGCCGTGACGAATTGCGTGTCCGTCGGGGATGCCACTCTGTAATTAATTTTTTTTCCTGCGCGATTCCTTTTTTTCCTCCAAAGTGTCTTCGACCTTTTTTCCACTCCTCTCCGAACTGCACGATAATTCTTCCCACTCCTGCGTTGCCCCCCCCCCTTCCCGGAACAATGCCCGGCATCGCTTTTCCGCGTCAAGAAAATTAACGGAGCTTCCACAAGGGATACGGGGGTTGTTCGAAAATATTAATTCGGCTCTACGCGGTCCCGGGGTCATTAATCAATTTTCTATGTATTCATCGCGCTGGATGCTGCCGACGTGCCTCGTTGGGCAAGTTTTCGTTTTTGTCTGTCTCGCGCTTTTTCTCCCTAATAAAAAAAAAAAAGCGCAGCGCAACGTTACGATTACAAACAGGAAACGTGGATGCGCGATCGAAAGCAGGAAAACGGCGAATAGAAAGACTGCTGAGAAGCACGTAAATTGTTTAGCGTGACGTCATGGCTTACAGTTACTTTACGCATCGTAGACGAGAGCGATGAATCAACCCGTAGAATCACGTACGGAGAAGTGGGTCTTGAAGTGGTTACTGACGAATTGAAAGAAGTAAAAAAAAAGGAATTTTATTTTAAAATAGGTATTTCCCTGTACGTGATTTTGCTGAAGAGAAGCAATACCGTCATGAAAAAAAAATTCCCTTTCAATACGGCGGATTTCTATGAATACAAGAAAATCATACGAAAAGTATATACAGTGACATCTAACTTGGAGTAAGGGGAGAAAGGGGAAAGCTTGCATAACGTAAAAAAGAGCGTCGCGACGGTCCATGGAAATTTTTGGCAAGACGCCAAAATCACAGATTTTCGTTTTGCCAAGAATTCGTAATAATATAACACCAATCGAGCTCGTCTCTCTATGCATGTATTCACGTAATTCTTAGGTAAGTATTGATGAGCGGATTATGTAAATATGAAATAAAAAAAACAAAAAGAAATGTTAAAACGACCAAAAGATCCAAAAAAAATCTCCGCTGTTTAAAGGACGTATTTAAGAAATCCCAGTCTTCCATCAGGCGAAACCGGAAATGCCTGTGCCTTATGGCCAAACGAAAAGGCGGAAGTGGACTACTCTCAGTATCAACCGGATGTTCGTGAGTGCACCTGCCTTTCTTATAGCCTTTACCCCGAAATAAAAAAAATTAAAAAATATTTTTAAAAAAGTTGTAAAATGTTGAAAAAAAAGGCAGTAGACAAAAACCATCGCCAATCCAGCAAACTGCTTTTTCCAACATCCCCTTTCCTCGTGACAATCTCAGCGAACTTAATGCCATCTAACTATAAATATCGTTGCTGTAAAGCTTCGCCGAAGTTTAAGACGCCTTCCCAACGATCAGCACGTATTTCAGGCGGAAGTCGCGGTACGTTTCAACGATAGTTCTGTACAGGGCGAATACACGTGGGAGTGCGAATGGCATTTCCCAGGAGCACAAGTCGCCCGACACGGCTTGCGTCGCATTTTGAATACAAACCTGAATCTGTCACAAGGTTGCCTACCAGGCTGCCACCCTTATGTACACACAATATAGGTATACGTAGCTGTCGCCAGAGCGACTGACTGCACAACGCACATAATGCAACTGCAAACGCGTCCAGCCTCTCGAGAGCGGCGCGTGAGAGGGAAGGGGGAGAGACGGCCGATTACGCAATTTCCGTTTGGGCTTCATTCGATTTTCGAAATCGCTCCATTTCCCAAAACTCTCCGATCCGCTTCCGGTCTTGACCCAAGGTAGAAGCTCTGTTTTTCCAGGCTAGCCCTCTTTTTGCCGAAACTCGAGAAAATCTACCCCCCAACTACAGTTGAGGGATGTTTCCACTCTCGACGGCGGAATAACCGTCCAAGAGAGTCCCGAGGGTACGTTATACAGAGTGCCGCCTCAGGGATTCGCTGACAGGCCGAGGGAAATTAGAGTTAGCGCCAGCCCAGCGCGTAATCCACGTGTTTTAGAAAATTGCTAAATTTCAG